ATGCTTGGGAAATTAATTACTCTTCTGCCCTCCCAGAACTTCTCCAATCATTCCACTGGCACCTGGCTTGGGACAGAGCAGTGACCTCTGTCCCCAAGCCCATCCCTGTCAGGGTCACTTCCTTCCAGGACCCGCCCCCATCCTCGTGGGAAAAGGCGGTGCCCGCCCACCCCATCCCACACGGCTCAGCCTGACCTGCTGGTGCCCCACACCACGGCGCAGTGTGGGAGTGAAGAGGGTCGGGGAAGGGGAAGCGTAGAGGGGCCTAGAGCACCCGCTCAGACTGCCAAATCCCCCTGCAGCTCCCGGGCCTGCGCCTCGCCCGCGCGGCCAGCAGGTGGCGCGGCTGCTCCGCACACCCCGTCCGGCCCAGCGCCCTCAGGAGACGCCTTCCTGGGAGTCTGCCCCCCAGACTCCCTTCCTCCCGCCGCTTTGGTGTCTGGAGCCAGGAAACTGCCGAGCAGCCGGGTCTGTTACCTGTCATGAGGCCCGTGGGCGGTGGTTCCGACTGCTTCAGGCTTCACCTGGCGCTGGTACCAGTGGAATCGCTAATAACCCCTCCAGTTTTTACAAACAATTCAGACTGTCCAGCCCTGTAGTATTTATCTCCACTTAAAACGTCCTCTGAGCTGCTGCTCTGGTGTGAATCGTGCAATGAGTGTTGCGTTTGTCAAGCCTGACCTTGGACCCACCCCGTTCCCTCCGGCAGGCGGCTCCTCTGGGCACCGACTCTTCCTTCTGCCTGAGGGGACTGCAGGAGGCCTCTCTCCACAATAAACCTTCCTGAAAGCGGGAGTGTGGCGTGCATCTGTACCCTGTGGAGTGAGCAGAGGGCGGGAGGTGCCCCCGCAAAGGCTGTCCCTCCCGAGCCTGTCCAACGCGCGTCCAACCCTGCGGTGGCCGTGAGAGCGACGGCCTGTTTTCCGCACTAGGCGGGGACCGGAGGCAGAGTCCAGGGCTAGGGACTCCTTTAGGCGAGGTTGCTTGCTGCTTTTCTACTAAAACCACATTTTTACTAAAACCACCTTTTTTGTAGTCGAAGGTGGCCATGCCCTGCCTGCTCTTCAACGGGAGACAGGAGGTCAGTCTTCACAGCATCACCAAAGTGAGCAGGAGCGAGAACTTCAAACTAGTGCTTGTTTTGATTTTTTTAGGTTTAAAAAAAATTTTATTGACTTTAGAGGGGGAGGTAGAGAGAAACATCAATGTGAGAGCGAAACATGGATCTGATGCCTCCCACAGGACCCCTCCCAGGGATCAAACCAGCAACCTTTTTTGGTGAATGAGACGACGCTTAACCAACTGAGGCACACTGGCCAGGACTATTTTTAATTTGTTTAAATATTTTTATTGATTTCAGATAGGCACAGAGAGATAGGAACATCAATTATGAGAATCATAATTGCTTCCTACATTCTCCCCACTGGGAATGGAGCCCACAACCTGGGCATGTGCCCCACCCAGGAATTGAACTGTGAGCTCCCAATTCATAGGTCGACGCTCAACCACTGAGCCACACCAGCCGGGCCCAGGACTATTTAATTATTTGAGAGAGAGCAACATGGGCTTGTTGTTCCATGGATTTGTGCACTCACTGGTTGCTTCTGGTATGTGCCCTGATCGGAGATTAAACCCCCAACCTTGGTGTATTGGGATGATGCTCTAACCAACGGAGCACCCCGGCCAGGGCCAGCGTTTGCTTTTACGTACAGGAGGAGACCCTTTAATGTAGGAAGACACTTGGTGACCTCGTTCCATCAAACCAGGCCGGGAAGAGGCACTCCTTAGAACAGAGGCCGCTGTCAGCGGAGAGCTGGCTGTCCGGGCAATGGAGTCATCTGTCCCCCCTCTGGTGTGGGGTGGGAGTGACCCATGCACTAAGTCCCTCCCCACAGGGGTGTCTGCCACTCCGCTCAGCATGCTGTGGCTCTGAGGACGCTGGCCTGGCTCGTGCGAATGGACAGCTGGGGCTGTCACCTGGATGACCAAGTTTCTCACGTTCACAGCCCGGCGCCACCGAACCCCTGAGGCCGCGCTGAGCTCCTCACCTGCAGGCCTCGCTGCCACCGTCAGCAGCAGGACTGAAAGGCTCGTGGCCAGAGCCTCCGAACCGCGGCCCCAGCGCCCAGGCTCGATGAGAAAGCCGGGCGGCTGGGCTCAGCTCTGCTGCTCTGGCCGGGGCCCTGCCCGGGAGCCTGGCCGCCCAGCTCCGTGGGCTCGCAGGCGGCGGCACAGCCTCCGCATCACCAGCCTCTGGGCCTTCAAGCGCTTCCGGAGCTTTTCATTTTCCTTCAGGGTCACAAACAGTTTCTTTTTTAGGGCATCTAAGTCCAAAAGGGCGTAGCTGTGGTCAGATGGCTGTGGGGGGCTGGCCGGCTGAGCAGGGGCCTCAGCTGCTTCTGGTCTACATGGCAGGACCTGGGGACAAGGGTGGAAGGTAAGCAGGGCCCAGGGGCCTGCAGGCGGCCCTCCAGCGGGAGGGGTGGAAGGGCCTCGGCCTCTTCCCTCAGCTCTCCTGACCCCAAGTCTGCCCTCCTGGTGGCTCTTCCTGTCACTGGGAAGGTCTGACGTCAGGGCCACACCCCTGAAGGGATCAGTTTGGGCACTGATTCTCCTCATTTTATTTGAAACAAATCCCCTCTTGCCGAGACCAACGCTCCATGTGGCGCCTTGGTGCCTGGCCTTACCTGCCCTACAGGGTCTCTGGCGCTGGGAGGCCGCTGCAGCCCTTCGAGGGCTGTGTCCGCCTTTCTCTCCGGGCCGTGCTCCCTGGCCTCCGCTTCTGGGAAGACCTGGAAGCACAGGGCAAGGCTGCAGGCACACTGACTCCAGCACATGCAGACCGCCCCCGGCACAGACCGGCCCCCAATGCGCACAGACCGGCCCCCAATGCGCACAGACCGGCCCCCAATGCGCACAGACCGGCCCCCACCAC